GCACTCAAGATACCACAATGACGGGCCTGGGATAAGAAGCAGAATGTCATAGTACAAAGCTCCCAGGAACTGCAGTATACAATGGACTTAAAGGTGATTCGGCTCCCCAGGATAGACTTGTTAGATGCTCCAAAGTGGTTTAGAAACCCAATTTTAGAAGATACTACTTTTTTTTTTTTTTTCCTTCAGAAGCATCTAAGCTGTATCCCAGTGTTTTTGTCTCGACTTGATTTGAAACACAAATAGTTTTGTTTGTTTTTTTAAAGCGCTTCTTTCAGGTTGTATTGTTTCTAGGCTCATCCAACTGAATTATAACTAGCTGAGCAGAGTACAAGTCAATCTTGTATGCGGCTCAGTTGGACAGTCTACATCAGTGATTCTCAACTAGAGTGCCACAAATCCCTGGGGTGCCTTGAGATCCTTTGTAGTGTGCTGCAGGTTGCCACACGTTGTACTGTGTGCAAACATGATTCACAAGATAAACCCAGAGATTTCAAATAGGCATGTTGCCCTGTGTGGTCTTTGTGAGTTCTTTGCAACAGAAAAATCACTCTTATTTTTCTGTAGTCCAAAAACAAAATGAAAACTAAGAGCTGGCATTTTCTAAGGGGTGCCTTGAGTCTGAGGGGTTCCCCAAAACTTAAAAGGTTGAGAACCAGTGGTCTCTGTGCTTCCATGTTTTGGAGGAAGGACACAGACTTTCAATACTTTTGAAGGAGGGGAGGACAATGTCGTCATATTGCCATTGTGAGTGTTGGAACTGGACGGTGCATTGGTAATGTGTCTGGATACAGAGTTTTTATATACATAAAAATATAAACTTTTGGGGGAGCAAACTTTCTATAAAAAAAAGATTGATTTATTAAACCTTTGCTTTTTGTTCTTCATTCCCTGCACCTTTTGATTCTGTTTTCCTTACCTTCTCATGCATTTTTTTTTTCCTTTTTATATTTATTTTTCACTGACACCAAATAGCTATAAGCTCCTAGACCAGTGGTTCTCAACATTTTTAGACTAAGGGCATCACCTGGAAAATGTCAGCTTAGTTTTCACTCAATTTTTGGCAATATCAAGATAAAACCCTATTTACTCGTATCCAAAATAATTTTCTTTTTCTTCATTCAACGGGGGGGTGGGGGACGGGGAAAGAAACTGTCTTGCATTTAAGTACCAGCCATGGCTGGCACTGCTGTGGCTCCAGCTCTTTTGACTCCAGCCCTCACCTGGGGAAGTCTGCATGCTGCAGGGGGGACTGAGCATGGGGAAGAGACCTTGTGCTGTAAGATGAGAGGGGAGCACAGGGGGTTGTCAGCAGGGGACAGCACATGGTATGGAGAGGACACAGAGGAGATCATGCAGTGCAGGGGTTGGGAGCCTGACAGATCGTGTTGTGCAAAGGAAAAAGAGCATGGCGAGGGAAGGTGGGCTGCACAGCAGCTGGAGAGCTACTGCAGCTCTGGCCCTGACCTGAAGCTGGGGCTGGAGCTGCCACTACTGTTGCTACCTGGCAAGAGTTTGGGTGAATTGGGTAAGTAGCACCAGTGAGGGGGTGACAAGGGAGGATAAGTGGCTGGGGGCAGGGGTGGGAGAGATGAATTTAAAATGACCCTCTAATAATTAGACTCTAGACATGGGAAACTGTAACACATTTATACATTTTTCATGTATAGAATCTAAGTATTGGAGGTATCATCATAAATTCAAAGTTGTATTGGATTAAGGAAAATACAGTGGACCAATTCTTCAGTTCTTCCTGTGCCCCCAAATGTTTCAATCCAGCCAAGTTTTAGCTTTTATTTTTGTTTCATGTTTAAGGAATTTGAAATAACATTAATTTGGCCTTGCATTGTACCCATAATGGAAATGAAGAAAAAGTAACACAGTGGTGAAATGAACAGTGGCTTCTTAGAACATAACACTTTAATTATGCATTGGCATTTGGTTCCTTTTTATTATCTGGCACTTTGTTTATACCCTGTGGGGTTTTCTTTGCAAGCACTAGCATGAATAAACCCTCAAAATACAATAGTGTGTTCTGGATTTATACAGTACAAGGAAGAAAATGCCTCACCCCACTTATGAAATGTTCAAGACACCCCATTTATGAAATGTTCAAGACTTGAGGCAGCATAGATAGTCGTATGTCTGATCACACATCCAGGCACTTAGTGAAACATACTTGCAATGACACTCAAATTCCAGAGTTTCACAGGATTTTACCATCCATCTGGGTAGAGGCTGCATGATCACTGTATGGAATCTTTGGGACTTTCACCTGTTGTTTATATTGTTTTTGTCTGCTTTGTTTCTGATGCATCCTCTGTTAGAAAGCATGTTTGCCTGAGCTGGCATTGTTCCATGTTCTAGGCCCCTGACTGATATTAGTTTAATGATGCACTGGAACCTGATCCCAGATCCCAACAATTATGCATCTAACCATGTCACCTGTGCACTGCAGGGCATGCAATTGTGGTGCTCAGGGACTGGATCCCAATCATGTACTGAAGATGCAGTCAGTGGTGCTCTTTAAATTTGCTGGCATATGTGGAACCTGGTATCCCAATCCCTGGCTCTAGGTGCAGTGGCAAGTTGAAAGCCACATGTAGTGTAGCCCTGAATTAGTCTGCCAGGTACGTGGCTCTGCTAGTGCCAGGTGTGGTGAGTCAGTCTACCTACCTGGCATTTACAGAACTCCCTGGACAGCCCAAATCCAATTCCGGCTGTTCTGGTCCCCTTGCTGACAATCTGCATGTAAAACATCTTTGTGGCTGGTTTGTCATTTTGTGGTATCATAAACTGGTTGAACGTGTGGCATGCTCTCATTTATGGTGTGATTAGCACATCAGTTGCACCATACATGTAACATCTGCCAGGACCCACAGTGACTTCCTCTAACCAACTGTGTTATCCCCATATATTACAGATCAAATAAGCATCATGGGCTGGCAACTGGAGCTGTACAGTTTTTTCCATTGGTTTCATTCCACATTGGCTCATGCCCGGTCTCTTTTGTTTATAAGCTTCAGGTTCAAACAAGTAGAAAAAGAACTTACATTGGACTTCCTCTCTGCTTCCTCCCTCCAAAATATGTCCCACTGAGGAAATCAGGAAAATTGAGGGTTTGCACATAATTTCAAGATGATACTATAGTTCAGCCAAATTCCATCCATAGCTGGACCCAAATTTACTCACACAGGCCTGATGTAAAGTCCAATGAAGTCCAATAAAAAGACACCATTAACTTTTGTGGACTTTGCGGTAGGCTAGTGGAAAATCCTCTGTAACCAGTCTGGATTACTAACCAATTTCCAGGATCCTAATTCTCAGGTGTTTTTTGTTCTTAATTGAACACACAATGCACAGCTCTGCTAGAAAGCAGCTGGCTTCTGGCAACTATCCACCCCCTCACCATTGGGTGGATCAATGTATTACAGCAAATTAACAGGTCAATTCAATTGTGGCCCTTTAAATGTGATGCATTGTGGAAGTTTGCTCTTATGACTGCGCCCAGCTGTTCCTGGATCTCTCAGCTGTAGCTGTTACCTATATCTAACTGCACCATGAGACAAAATAATCGTGCAGTGATGCCCTGCTGCATCTTTCCTTTACTTCTCTTGCCATGGAATAAAGCATCAAAGCATGATCATGCTGGAACCTCCCACTGAAGCAAACTGGACCAGCATGTAAAATCCATGGCAAAGGAAAATAGGTGGCAGCACATCAAAGCCCAGTTTTAAGGGTTTACCCCTATTTAAATTAATGACAAAGCTCCCCTGGGCTCCTCCAGTTGAAGGATAAAGGCCTGTGTGGAGAATCTGCTCTCTCTCATGCATGAAGCAGACATTCACACCACCTTCGGAGGTATGAATGAGGAGAGTGTGGTGTTTTAATGGGCTGGGTGAGGTCCTAGAGAGGAGCAAACCTATCCACGGTTTCCCTGAGAGCCTTTCCGTTCCTTCCTCTCAATTCTAAGGTAACCATTAAAAAGTTTAAATAATTTGTTTATATTTAAGTAAATTTTCTTAAAAAAGAAAATATTTTCCCTCCATAAGGAGGCACAGGTAGTTCTGAGTACTCTTGTAACTGGCATGAAAGCCAGCATTACATATAATATCTCTGGCCAATAACAAGGCTTTGTGTGGACTGCAACCTTAAAGGCATTTTTCAGTGGCTCACAGCAGCTTTGGGTTGCCATTTAGCCTAAGGCTGGAGAACATCCCCACATGTCTGACCAAGTTTGGCTCCACTACATAGGCCCTCTCACCCTGAGGGCGCAGCAGGGAGTAGAGAGCAATGTCCTTGGCAAAGCCCTGGCGGCAGTACAGTTTCTTCAGGTAGTATAAGGCACGATGGGCAGAAGGGGCAGAGAACAGCATGGCTGGCGTGCAGCACTCGGTGACAGGCACTAGGTTGTAGAGGGCAGGAGATAGCCGGCGCAGCTCTAGCAGATAGTGGCGCCCCACCAACTCAGCCAATGCCATAGTGTACAAGAAAAAAAAGAAGATAATGAGCCAGCTAACAGCTGGGCGGCCAAATGCCCAGGAGTACATGGAGCTCAGCAGGGGACCGAGAAACATGCCCATCCCTAACCACTCCAGGATCCTCATGGGCTCTGGGTTGATGTAGTGCTGAAGTCTCTCAGGGTGGTAAAGTTTCAAGTAGAGAGCATTTCTGAGGTGTGGCTTTGAGAGCCGTACCAGCAGGAGGTGCTGCAGGACAGGGAATATATCTTCCTCTGGAACAGCATCATCTTCCACCAGAAGGACATATTCTGGTTTGTAAGCCAGCAATGACTGCTCCAGGCAGAAGGCATAGTCCTGCTTCTCCTTTTCAAATTGGTTTACTGAGGCCTCAGGGTCGTCCCCATTTCTGTAGCGGTTGACTGTGGTGAAGAACTTGCTCAGCAGCTGGACATCCTGGTGGCTGCTGGGGTCCATATCCACATTACAGAGGAAGATCTGGTAGTTCTGGCAGCCAGACCCACACTTCTGGAGGAGGCGGTGGAAGTGGGATGCCACTTGCAGGACGTAATGGAATTCATTCCGTCTCTTCACAGTGATGATGGTGACCAGCAGGTGTGGCCTGAGGGCCTCAGCACCTGAAATCTCTGAGGAGTTTGGAGCCTGCAGGGCCTCAAAGTAATGGAGGGCAGCTTGACCCTCCTCCTGGTTCTGCTTCAGGAATTCCTGGCTCATGGGGTTCAGGTGCCAGTGTCGTAAAAAGAAATAGGAATGGATCAGCCGATGACAAGCCAAAGGAGCCAGCACACCAAATGTCACCACGGTCAATGTGAGGAGCTGGACAAAGGGGCTAGAACAATGGCACCACCTGCGAAAGAACCACAGTCTTTTCTGGAGCATGACTACTAGATATGGGGTCCAGCTCTTTTGTGCTCACGCCTCAGTGTGTTTGTTCTATCAGCACCTGCCCTAGACAGGAAGACAGATGGCACAGTGCAAGCCAGGCCCAGCCGATATTTCCAAACCTGTAAGGAAAGAGAGAAACATTTAAAACCATCCCAAAGCCACTGGTAACATAGAGGGTGCTTCCAGACCTATCAATCTGATAGGACCAGAAACCCCTAGAGCTCACAAAGAGCCGTGTGCCCTGCTGTAAGGAAAGAGAAGAGCCACTGTGGGGGAAAGATTAATTCACCAGATTTGCAAGCAGCTGCCCCAGCCCTGAGGCTGCAAAGAGCCTTGCGGGGATCCTTCTTCTCCTGGTATTTTCGGAGGGGAGGAGGAAGAAACATGAGCTCCAATATAAAAAGGAACCCAGAGCACACAAGAGACACTCCCGGAGCTGGAAGTTCCTGACTTGGCCAGAGAGGTGGCAGGGACAACTGAAGGCACACAGGGAGTGATCAGGAAGGGTTTTCAGAGACAGCTCGGTTCAGGGAGCTGACAGAGAAAAAACCCCAAACAAGCAGCTGTCAGGTAACCTGAAACTGCCACATGGCAGCCCAGAAAAACCCTAATAGCAGATCTGGGAAGAGGTACCGTAGAGACTGGACTATAAGGGCAGGAAGAAGTCAAAGTTTGGATTTTTTCTCTTTTTTTCTTTATTCCTCCCAGATATAGCAGGATAGTGAGGTGCAACTATCCAGACAATAGGCCCGAAAAACTGGTAAAATACAGATCAGGTCCTTGTTTGCTCCAAACCTGGTGGAGGATAACCAGGATCAAGGTAGCAATTGACTTGTCAGAGCCAGAGATGTTAAGAAGTGTCTAACCAGCTCTGAGGCTGACTATATGGACTGTGAATTAATACCCAGGGGAATGGGCGAAGGTGTAGGGGTTGGTGGAGCCCTCATTACACTAAGGCAGATGTCAAGACCAACAATGTCAGAAGCCACATGTCCAGGTGTTTCTTTTCTCCCTTAATGATGAGTCGTGGCAGGCGAGAGCATGGGCGTGCAGAATGTTCCTTCAAGATATTGTAGCGGGCTTCAGCCAGCTGGCCAAAGTGATAAGACTGTTTTAGTAGAGAAAGCAGAGAAAGAGAGAGAGAGAGGAAACATGGATAAGGTAATAACCACTAGAGACTGACTGAATACAGAAAACTGAGGCAAGCATCTAGACCAAAGATGGGTGGGTGGACTTTGGTAAGAGTCCCTCCCTTCCCCCCCCCCAACTTGGACACCTGTGAGTGAGGAAACAATGGAAAAAAAAGGGATCGTGTTTGGTCACTCCCTGGCTAAGATGCAGTAAAACATTTACTGGGTGACTTATGAAAGAGCCTCTCTGAGTCATGGAGCTTACTGGAGTAACTTCATCAGACAAAGTACTTGCAGAGCACAAGGGGTATTAGAACTATTACTGATATTATGGTATCCATAACTGAGATCTGGGGCCCTGATTGAGATTAGAGGCCCACTGTACATGCACACCTGGTCTCAAAGAGCTTCCCAAACAGATCAAGGGTGGCTAGAAGGCAGCATTATCTTCATTTCACAGATGGGGTACCAAGGTACAGGAAAAATGAATGCCTCTGTTCACGTCTATGTAAAAGCAACCCAAGTCCCCTCACCTAACTTTGTTCTTCTGTGGGCTATATTATAGGGATGGCAGCAATAAAATCAGCAGATTTTGACCGAGCAGTTTACCCAACTTGTGATGAAGAGTATTCATTACAATATTCAAATTCAAAAGTGGAACTTTTATGATTCTTTCTTAAATATATGTAAACAGACTCTCAACTCCCTTTTCTAGGCAGCCACTAACTGACACCTACCAGCCTCAGTATAAGTAGATTACACAAAATTAGAACACTTAGCTATTAAATTGAGTTCTCTACTGGCTATAATTTTCCTTTTATAATCTCTAGTTTGACTCTTCTTTATGCTGTCCATCCCTCTAACTGGCTATCTATCAGACTCTTCACCACTGATGAAATTCCTGATTCTTACAAGTCTTACTCTCTCTACTCCATTCTTCTCTTTCAGTCAATTACTTCCTATTGCCACAGAGTTTTGAGCATGGATATCCTGGGGTCAACCCTCCCCACCACACACACTGCTACCTTGCACTGTGGAGAACAGCTGAATGTGTGATATGTGGTGCTACAGACATGAAAGTGCACTTTTTGTGATGCTTTCGTGCACATTAAAATAGGCTAATGCATGTAAAAACACATGTGTAGATGTGCCCCTAGACCCTTCTCTGTATACACATGACCCAGCCCTCAGGGTGTTGTTTCCCAATCCCTGTGCTTGGCGTATCTGATTTGGGGAATGAGATTGTGGAGATATAATTATCTATCAGATCTCTGCTCTTTTAGAAAGTTGTGTATTGTCCATCTACTTAACTGGGTTTTCAGTTCATGCAGCATGGAAAGTAAAAGTTACTGGAGGTCACAGACAAACACACAGGTGAAGAAGGAAAACACTCTTCTGCTTGTGGGACTAGGATGCTGCCAGATGGAAGTTGGAAGCAGGGAGTCTGTTTCCCAGTTAGGCAGAGGAGAAAAGGTAGTGAGATTCAAGTCATGAGTGCAAGAGATTTTGAATGGAACTTGCCTGTGTTACTCTACATAGCACTCAAAAATTGTAACCCAGCTCTGTAAAGGATGCCTTCTGTGATGACAACAGTTCTAATGTAGAAGTGTGGTTCCAAACAGCAAATTCAAGGCAGAACCCAGGTCACCCAGAGCAGCTCAAAAAACAAAGCCAGAAAGGCAATAACAGTGTGTCCCTAAAAACAAGGACTACTCCAGGGTGCTCTTTCAATTTAGAGGACTGCTTAGGCGATATGCAACCACTGCTAGAGCATCCCCTCCTGTTCAATTCACCACTGTCAGCACAGAGAAAAGATGATGCTAAGTCCCAGCAATCCCCACTGCCAGAGCAGCTTTTTGGAGGTAACTGCAGCTAGCTGCTCTAATTTATGCAAAGAAATAGCCTGACCATCTCGAGGAGCATGGAAGTGACCTAAAGTCCTGTGTAGTCCTGTTCTGACTGTCCTGGTTCCATCACCTTTATAACGGACAGAACATGTGGAGACCTCAGAGTTGGAAATCTAGATCCATTTTTTTCAGAAGCTCACAGTGTTTGTATTCTGTCAGGTTTGGTTTTTAAATCCAGTCCCAAGTTTAGGTCTTTTCCATTCAAGCCCTGTGCTTGTTATCAAGATGCTTCATATTTTGGTATTACCCAGGTTTTTCAGAAATTTTGCCAATTGTCTCTTTATTCCTGCTTAAGATTTTACTTATATAGTTGCAATGGATTGTGGGTGTACTCTCCAAAAAAGTAATTCTCCGTGACATGATTATATTTTACACTTCTTTTCTAAACAATATTTCCTGTGCCATGCTACGTATTTTATTGAAAAGGTATAAGCTTCCACTTGAAACTACTCTTACAGAGAGAGCAATCTATGGAGCACTATCCCAATTTCAGCTTATCAGCTATTCATATGTAGTTATAAGCATAGCTTTCATGTAAAGTTATGTTTCCAGCTCATTTGCTTTTATAAGGCCATCAGCTAAATGATGCTGCATCCTTCCAGATGAATTGTATTTGCATACATATCAAATTCACTATGCATATCCATCACCTCCCCAGTGACACAATTAAGGGGCTTCTACATTACCCCACTGGAATTTTTTCCCAGGACTGCGCTTGTGCTTGGAAAGGGAGGGGGAAGAAATACATGGACCATTTTGTCTTCAAGAGGCAGCATATTTTCTCCTGTATTGGTGCCTCACTAGGCAGGCTCATGATGCTACTACTCCAAGCTCCACTTTACTCATTTGTTTCCAAGGAGAAGTAACTGGAACAAACCCTTGCATTCCTGTAAGTGGAGAAGATGTGAGATTCAGGAAAGCCTTTATGTGGTGACACAATAGAGGACAAATGGGGTAGAGGGCACAGTCCAGGCTTTCTGAAACTGGCTTGTAATGTAAAGCTGCAATCTAGATTAATACTATTCAATTGTACCTTGCATGATTGCACTAGGCCAAGTCACTAAGCTTAGAAATCCAACCTACAACTGACTGTGTGTCTGGATTGAGTGTTCCTTTACATAAACTATACGTTGAACTTCAGGATTGAAGGGCACTTGCTAAGTAAATTTTTACTGATAAAATTAAAGTGCAGCAGTTGTGGCTATGGGTCCTTACTTCAGGCACTGACCATTAATTATTAATAAGCTGTGACTTTGGGTTTGTGCCTACACATGTAGCCGGCAAATGTGACAAGTGACCTGATCCTAAAAATGCATCTAATGTGGGCAGAACCTCACTACACTTAGCCTCCAGCACTATGCAAGCTCACATAAGATGCAATTGCAGGATGAGGAACTAGAAGCCCTAATGGTTAAACTGCTTTGCTAGATTTAGAAGAGCTTGGCAGTTTGATAGTATTTTTGGGGTGGTGATTTCAAGCAAGCCAGGCAAGCTGTTAAATCCCACTGAATTAACCCCCAAAATTGTTTTTGAAACTGCACACTCTGCTAGAATTTAATACAACTGTAAAAAAGTGAGGATACTCTGAATTTTTTATTGAGCTAATATACAACTCCGCACCAGTTGTTTCCTCTTCCACTAAAATAATGGGAACCAACCTTTTTGGCAGACATACCACATATTAAGCTTCGCACCCTCTCCAAGTGCCACTCCAGTCGCCTTTCCCTGCCTAATCTGCCCTGCTTTCTGCTCCCTGCCCTGTGCTTGCTCCCTGCCTGATCTGCTGCTTTGCTTTTTGCTCCCCATCTCCTCCCCAGTCTGTTGTGTACCACACACACAGGCTGTCCATACCACTTGTGGTATGCATGCTACAGGTTGGCTACCCCAGCTCTAAAGCAGTGTTTCTCAACCTGTGGGTCACAAGAATATTTGAAAGGGTTGTGAGCAAGTCCCAGAAAAACACAGGAAAGCATAGGTTTCCCCTTGCAGGCTGGCAGCATTCCAGCCTGCAAACAGCTGCTCTGGGCAATTGGAAGCAGCGGGCACACGTGCATCTGCGTGCACACGCTTGTGGCTGGCATG